TGTTCATATACTGGCACAGTAGGAAGAGAGAGAGAGAGAGAGAGAGAGAGAGAGAGAGGGGGAGGGGGAGAGAGAGAGAGGGGGGGAGAGAATCTTTCTCATTTTCCAAGGAGTCTCAAGAATTAAAGATCACACCTGCAAATCCACCCTATCCAGTGTGCTTTCTGACTGTCCCTGTAGCCTTTTGAATCAGGAGCCCCTTTGTTCCTGTACTTCCCACCGGGAGTGGGGAGTGCTGGGCTCTGACCCCTCCAGCCCAGAGTCTTAGGACCCTGTGTCATCAATGGCTTACACCCAGGAGGAGGTGTGGAAAAGATGGCTCTTAGTAGAGGGCTTCTGAGGACCCCTAGATTCTCGACAATCTCCACATACCAGGGAAGGCTCATACTGTATGTGAATCTCTGCTAAAACCAGTCAGAAGTCCCCACCCCTGTGTCATATGTAATACAGACAGCTCTCTGTACTCAAAAGGCTCCAGGTCTGTGTATTCAATCAACTGCAGATCCAAAATATTTAATAAAACAGTTGTGTCTGCATTGGGCATGTAGACATCTTTCTTGTCATTATTTCCTAAGCATAAAGTCTAACTATGATTTAAATGGCATTTACATTTTATTATAAGAAATCTAGAGATGATTTGAAGTAGAGAGGACTGCATGGGTTATAAGCAAATACTACACCTTTTACTTAAGGAACTTAAACACCTGGAGAGTTTGGTATCTATGGGGGTCATGGAACCTATCCCACAGATACCTAGGAATAATATAGTATAGAAAAAGTCAGGGCCCACTGACGTAGACACCACATATCATCAGCTACTAAGAATCAGAGGAACATTTATTTTTGAAGATTTATAATTTTCATGTGTTTGTTTACCTGCATGTATGTATAGGCACCACATGTGGGCTTGGTACCCATGGAGGCCAGAAGAGGGCCTTCTGACCTCGTGGAACTGGAGTTACAGACAGTTGTGAGCTGCTATGTGGGTGCTGGAAACTGAAACCAGGTCCTCTGCAAGATCAGCAAATGCCCTTAACTGCCGAGCCATTTCTCCAGCTCCATCTCACTTTTAAGAACAGCAGAACCTGGGCTTCATGTTGACCAAGTGAATGGGAATCTCTGAACCAGGAGCTCAGAACCACAGCCCCAGGAAAAAGCGAGCAGGCTTGGGGGGACTAGGACTTAGCTAAGGTTTCTCACTGTCAACGGAAAGGTCAGAAATACATAGGCACATAGAATTTGGATGAGAAGAACCAACATTTATTGAGCACCTACTGCATATCTGGCAATCTTCCTGACCACCCTGAGAGGTAGGTGTTACTGTTTTCACCCAGAACCACTGGGTGAGGCTGGGGGGGGGGGCCAAGCGGGAATTCCACCTACCCAGGGGGGCACCTTTTTTTTGGGGAGGGAACAAACTACCCTCCGCCAAGAAACGCAG